TTAAGGTAAAATGTGATATTATTGTATCCATACTTGATTGACTTAGTATAACACGACGTTCGAGACGTTGAAAAGATATGATATTCGTCACCCGTAGACCTGCAGGTCCCACTGTAGCTAGCAACAAGATATGGGATGGTCAATCCCGTATAGATCTATACACAAATTCACGCTCTCCCTCCAGGAGACTCTGGGTACAAAATGTGACACAACAGTATATGCCGCACCATGAAGTAGTATCTCACATTAACGTTATAGTATTCTTGTATTATAGTATGTTCTAGTGTAGTATTCTCTCCGTCTAGTATGTAGTATGTTCTCTAGTATATAGTGTGTAGTATGTATTGATTCTCGTTATAGTATTCTCTATCTGTTTCTCTTTATAGTGAGTATTGTTTCTCCTTATAGTATGTACTGACTCTTGTATGAACTGACTCTTAGTATGTTTCATTGTTCTAGTAATAGTATTAGTGACTTCTTAAACTATACCTATTATAGTTTACTAGCAATGTTGTTGGTATACATGAACATGATTGAACACCTTTGCTACCCAAAGGATCTGAACTGAATGAAGAACTTTTATATCTATATACATACAGATAATATATAACTAAGATTCAAACGACCTTCGGACAAACAACTGATACCCTAAGTCCACAACCAAACAAGGAACAGGAAGTAAGGCGAGTTGTCAGTCCTAAGTCCTTTCAATCCTACTTATATAACTATATCTATATAGATATGCTTTTGACAAAATATAAGTTTAAAAGAGTTTGATAAAGAGTTTTTCATATAAAAGGGTTTGTAAAACGATTTGAAGTCATTTGTTTGAAAACACAGTTTGAAGTATAAGAAACCCATTTGATTGATAGTTATTAATCACATGTGATTGATATAATAAATATAATGTTTCTACTTGTATTCCCCCCATAAAAGCATTTAAAATCATTTAAAAGGTAAGTTAAAGGGGTATGAACTCACCTGCAGTGAGTGGTATGAATGAAAGATTGGTTTGTAGGATGCTAAGTGCCAAGTGAAGACTTAAGCACAACGGATGCTAATAAGCATATATTGACACATATATGTATATAATTAGTGTTTATACAACTAATCATGTAAGGAAAACACCCTAGGACTTAGAAAACACTTAGATTGAAGTGTTAGAAGCTCAAAGGGTTGCATATAATGGGTGTACAACCACACTTGTGTGTGTATGGCCACCAGGTGTATGGCCATGGAGTGTACGACCGTACACTCCTTGAAGAAATGGTCAAAAAGTGTATTCCAAGGTTATATCTTGCATCCCCTAAGTGTCCTTGATCATGTGCTAGCATACAACTTGAGTTTGAGGTCCTTAAGCACTAAACAAAGGGGTGTACGGCCACATGAGGTGTGTACGGCCGTACACTCCTTGATGATCATTGTTTGGACGTTTTCTAAGGCTCATAACTAGTAAGTAACAAGCATAGAAAGGGTACTTACGATATAGAAGCTTTTAGGGGTGTTTGGAGCCCAAGAACTTAGTAGGTGTTCTTGGTGAAACTGAAGAACACTTGAAGATCTACTAAAAATAAGTGATTTCATGGATGAAATCAATGATCTTTACTAGATGGAGTAAGGAATCAACAAATCAAAGGAATAAACACTTACCACTTGAAGATCTAGTTGAAAAATCGGATGATAGTTGAGAGAGAATGAGTTCTTGGCTAAGAGGGTGAAAAGGGCTGAATGAAGGCCAAGCCTTTCATTTATAGACTAGAGTGTACGACCAGAGGGGGGTGTATGGCCGTACACCCAAGTGTACAGTCGTACACTCCTCATGATGGAGTGTTTGGCCATTTTGGGAAGTGGTGAACTTGTGGTACCCAAATCTAAACCCTAACTTTGAAGATACTAGGTTTAGAACACTCAAATTGACTCTAAGCAATGCTAGAAGGTAGCAGAAACGAGTCTGACTTTGATTGATTTGAATAACTGTACAAGATAGAAATTTCGGGTTGTCATTGAGGGCGAGCATGTGTAGCGGGATTGGTGATCGAGAAGGTTGAGCAGCTGCTTAGGAAATCTGGGACGATCCGTGTGGAAAGTATGGGTAGATGTGGCAGGTAGTATGGGCCCGTACTACTAAAAGAGAGGACCCATACTCGAAACAGGGAGAATACCAGAGGTTCTAAGTAGCGGATTGAGAAGAGAACATGGTTTGAGTACCATGATTCGTAGCAGATTGAGAAGAGAGATAACATGGTTTGAGTACCATGATTCGTAGCAGATTGAGAGGAGATCACATGGTTTGAGTACCATGATTAGTAGCAGATTGAGAGGAGATCACATGGTTCGGGTACCATGATTTGTGGTGGTTAGTGCTTCTGGTTTTATCAGTTATCCCGTTGTGATTGATTAGACTGAGATCATATGTGATAGAGTGTGGGGCTAGAGGGCCATGTCGAGCGAGTTTTAATGGAGCATTCCTGGAGAGAGAATTGAGTTAGTTTTGAGAGTTTTTCATTGGTGAGATGCCAGTTGGAGTCGCAAGACACAGGGATGAGTAGAGATGAGACTCTATGGAGAATTGCGGCCTGAGTTGAGCAATCGGCCGATAGTTGAGATGTCACTTTCTGTGACAAGAGTGGCGCTGCTCCCGTTTCCTGGGAGAAGCAAAACGAGATATTGAGCTTCCGGTTTCAGAGTTTGAGGTAAACCCTGTGGGGTAGTATAGGGATGCAACCTTTTCACTAGAGTATTTGGGCCGTATGTTGCAAGCGAGGTATTCCTTATACCACGAGAGAGCTATTAGTGGAGACTGAGATGAGGACAAAGAGATGCCTTAGTCGAGTCAGGCATGCTTTTAGCAGCGGTTTCAAGTGATCAAGAGGAGTATACTAGGGAGGTGGCTCTCGTTGTCTACGTTGTGTACCGACTGTTAGAGTAAGGTCTCTTGCTTCCATGATGATTTCTGCGATAGGAGGCTGGTCGAGGAATCAGAGACGAGGTGCGTGATAGTGCATTATTTCCAGATGGAGCCTCAAGACTAATCCAGAACAGTTGGGGTATCCGGCGGTGTGTCGGTCTGAGGCTTCGAGATGACTAGAGGCAGTCACGTCGAGGGGATTCAGAGATTTTTGTCTGAGTTACGGGATATTTGGAGTTACTTGGTTTCCGTCGGAAAGATCATTAATGTGATTACGTGGTACGTTCCAAGAGTCAAGTGTGATGCACCTGGTGAAACAGTCTATGGAGTGGATTGTTGGTATGCCAATTGGTGATGGTTCGAACCCTGAGTGGGGGAGAACTGGGTATTCTATTGAGAAGATCAACAATCCGTTCAAGTACGGTTAGAAAACTGGTTATGGAGATCTGCGGTGCAGACACATGAGACCTGGGTTATTGGTGGATGAGGCGAGGTGCAAGGCGGGATGATGTATGTGTATGTGCTTAAGAAAGGATGAGTGAATCCATGGCAGGTGGCCGTTGGTCAGAGAATTTATTGTGGCCAGAGATTTTTCGGGTTTGCAAACGTTGAGTTCGAGGCGGTTGGGTCGCTGAGTTCAGGGTGCAATTGCTGAGATTTGTGGGTATCAATATAGATTGTGATCTATACTCCAGGAGGGGCAGCAGTTGATTTGTCAACCAATTTCAGGGTCAGTATGAGTAGTTTCATATGGGTGGTGATCAGTAGAGGATTGAGCTTCGGATTTTTCGGTTCTTATCATTATTAGTTGTTTGTGCATGTTTAATGAAGGAATCAAACTTGTAAAGGATAAAAATCCAAATGCTTTTGTTCTTCATTTATCAATTACTATTTGATCAAATTGTAAATGGTGTATACTTATTTTGTTTCAAAGCAAATACGACAATCAATTTATAATCATATTAATTTTAGGTTCCTTACGGAACAGTACTGTCCTTTCATTTTTTATTTATTCTTTTTATTTTTTCTTTCTGTTAGACGACACGGTATGGGTCTCAACGAGAAACGATGTTGCTGAGGTGGAAGGGGGAAACGCGGTCATAATGGGGGAACACCGCCCCCCCCCCCCCCCCCCTTACTCGTTGCTTCTCGTCGTGTTACAACTCGTGCTCGTCACCACCGGGTGAAACGGGGCGTTTCTTCTCCAATTCTTCTGTGTTTCTTCTTTAATTTTGCCTCACAACAGCGTTGTGAGTTAGGAACACCACCCTGAAATTTGCCTCACAATTCAACGGCGTTGTTTTTTGTTACCCGTACCATATAGCCTTATTCAAAAGACTTGAACAAATGGGTTTCACCGACTTCTGTGTCTTCCACCGCCTTTCCTTTCCAATGGGATGCTTACACAATTGCTTCCACCGTCTTCTCTCGGTCTACTATCATAACAATCGGCGGGAAAAGTCCATTATCTCCCCCAAAAGAAGATTTCCATTACACGCGTTTTCCTCTTTTCATTCACAGTCGTCAACAAACCTCCATCGATTTCACTGTAAATCGGAAGAGGCGGCAACGAACAACCGCTTTCCACTGTCGCTTTTTCCACCTCCTGTTCCACTTCAGGAGGTCGACGTATTCGTCACCCGGTGATGTTCTTCTGAGTTCGAAGATGAAGGGTGGGTTTTAGGGTTGCAAAGACTCGCCACCATCTGCACACTTGCCACCATCAACAAGTCTTCCACCTTCTTCTTCGATTTCAGCCACCACAATCTCCGGTGACACCGCCTCCACCACAGTACCTACCTGACCAGGGTACTGTTCATGGGTTACTCTTACTCTACCATGGTCACCGCTCAAATATCTGGATGGTCCTTTTTTGTTCGACAACTATTTCGCACCGACATTCACCACGTCATCTTCTTCTACAATATGAAACAAGTCAATTCATCGGTGGTTTCATTCTCTCTCAAATTCATCTCCCAAATCAATTTCATCTTTCTAAGTTGACGACGAACTCAGGTCAGGAATCTTGCTCCCGACGACCCTTCACCAACTCTCTTTCCCAAAGTCATTCTCTTAATTGAAAGCTTTGCTAATGGTTTGTGTTTATGGTTGTACTCCTGAAATCTGATAATTGTGTTTGTGATTCGAAATTCAGAAATTTGAATCGAATGCATTTTTACTTAAAATTGTATCCTTGCTAATCTTTGTAATGATTCCTTTTTGTTTTGGTTATATCTTCAATTCAGGCTCTCTATTTCTGTGTTCCATTTCGTGAGCTTCTTGGATACTATGGAAATGATGAAATTCTAGGAGGATTTGGAGATAATCTAAGATGTTTACTATTATGGATGAAGTTGTGGCCGCAACCCACCAGGTATTCGATGAAATGCCTAGGTCGCTTCTTCAGTAACTTTGATTTATTCTGTCTAGAGTATCTCAAATACGTGGTGACCAACGGTCATTTCATATCTTCCGTCAGATGTGTGGTGGGGCTCCATGTGCTCTTAAAGTTTCTTTCTGTTTGATTTTTATTCTGTCATTGAAAAGGGAAAAATATTCAGTTTTTGTTAAACAGGCGATAGAGTGTAAGTTTCCGAATCAGAGTGGGTGTTTGAAAATCAACGGTCTTGATGATGCCATTACTTTGAAAAGCTAATGGTGACTTTAGAATTTAGGGTATTTAAACCTCATGGCTGATACTATTTATTAAATGAGAAATTATTATTTGTAACAAACATTTGAATAAGAAGCGTTTGATATTGTTGGAGTTTTCCTTGAGGATCTAGAGCATGCTTTTGAATTGTTGGTTGCAATCTTATGGCTCGAGAATAGTTCATTTATAATCCTGGTGGTTTTTGTATTTGAAGCTGGTAGGAGTGTTGCTAAGTTAGTGAAGTGCAATGTGAATGTCCTGCTGGTGGTTTTATCTGGAAATCATATGAAGCTCACAATCTTGTAAGTGTCAAATACGCAAATATATGCATACATAGTTTTATAATACATATGACAAATATGTTAGTGATTAGGGTTTAAGCCCAAGCCCTTTAGGTTAAAACCTTACTTCTGACTACAACTCGTAGCCGCCGCCCCCCACCTTCGGTGACCTTTTCTAATAGTCGTCAGAGGTGCCGTCATTATGTTCTTATTTTTTTGTTTCTTCTCTTTTCCACCTAAATAATAAAACAACCATATGGCACCACACCAGAGCCCTTTCATCGGCTTCTTCTACTGCCTCGTCTACTTCTGCCTCCTCATCACTAACAAAATAAACTCTTTTATTTGTTTTATTATGAAATATATAGGAAGCTATATTTCATGAATCTCACAATCCATGTTTCCCATGGTAGGAACTGAAAGCTGGGAACAACAGAAAAAATCAGGAAAAAATATGAGAAAAGATAGATAGTGGGTGGGTAAAAACATGAAGGCCTTTTTTTGATTGGAATCTGACTTAAAAGCTTTAGAACCTGGGTAAAAACACTAGGCATGTTTACAGTATTGTGATTTTGACTTTTTTTATGCTTTTACATATTGAATTGTTAACAACTTTTGGCATCATCTAAGATTAGGGTATCAAGTAATATGTGGATATGGGAGCCTTCGGGTATTTGGTTGTGATAAGTGGAAAGAAGCCTAATTATTTCACCACTGTTAAGGTATAACTAATAGTTACCCCACCATGACAACGTTTCTATATTTTTACATATATGTCGCATTGTTGATGCGTGTAATGTGCAGTTTGGATTTTTTTTATATGAATTCAATGATGGTGATAGTAAACTTTTTTGTTTACTTTTACAAGAAAAGTAAAGTAAAAAAGAATAGATTTCATGAAATCTTGAATTTTTAAATAAAGTAAAATACCATTTATGCCCTTTAGTCTAATAAACAATCTATTTAAATTCCCAACCATCAATTGTCCAGGTTTTTTTAGATCAACTTATCACATTGAAGTGTGAAAGGGAAATATTGGGTAAGTAATCAAAATAGTGGATGTCCAAGTCAGTCCTTTGTTTTTTTTTTCTCATTTTTTTTAATTATTAAGAAAATTTCATTTTTTTCATCTTGGTTTCATAGTTTGTTTGGGCTGGGCTAGCGTAGCGGGAGTGTTTACCAACTGAAGTGGGGAGGAGGATCGGAAATGTTAAGAAATTGATTGGTTGGAATTGTGTACCTCTGTCTAAATTCAGCTTTGGTGATGTTTATGATATATTTTATAAGGTATGATATCTTTTGTCATTGAAAAATTGTTGTTGATCTTTCTATTTGGCAAAAGCATTGAGGTTTTGTAAATTGTAGCAACTTAGATAATTTCAACTTCAAGTCTTTATATATATAAAAAAATCCTCAGATGAAATTTTTTTCAGATCCCAATGGAAACCGGGTAATAGATTAACCTGCTGTATGCGTTATTCTTTTTACATGCCGGGACATATCCTATTCCTTAGATAGATTCCGTTCCTTCCAAAATCATTACACGAACCAAATGCTCTCTAATGATTCTACATAATTACGAAAAGTGCTTATGTTTGATTATATCTTAAAGGCTCTTATTTCTGAATCCAGTAGCTTTGTGAAACATTGGGTAGAGATACTGCAAATGGAAGGGGAGTAGCTTTTACTACACAATAGTCGACAAGGGTACTCTCCAATGGCATCAAACACAACCCCCTTTGATGTTGGATCGACACAGACAATGAAATGGATCTTTGTTATCTGAGGTTGCTATCATCCATCACCACTTGCTATTTAACAAAAAAAACTCCTAACCCATGCGTAGGGTCCTTTTCTAGTTTAAATTATATAAATGGATAAGACTTTTTTGCTTTTGGATTAAATAAAATCAAATTTAATATTTGATTTTTCTACGTGTATTAGTTATTCAACTCTTTCTCCTTTTAAGATTCCGTTTTTTTTTTTTTTTTTTTTTTTTTTTGCATATTGCAAAACCAACGTGTCTGCCCTTTTTTAATTTATTTTCATAAACAAAGAGCATAGATTACAATAAATAGTGCATAGAGCTGAGTACTTTATTATTATTATTTTTTTTCCATAAACAACTTATTGTTGCTAATTTCTCAACATGTAGATTATGTGATTAAATAGAAAATGTTTTTGAGGTCTAGACTTTATGTCTAAATTATTATTTAGCAAGCTTAAATTTCTTACGTCTTTTTTTTGAGTAAACTTTCCATGAACGAATTCACTCTCCATAACTACATGATCTTTAGGCACTTTAAGCACCCATTTACCATAGCCTTGCATCACAAAGTATGTTTCCATTAATAAATGAGGTACTCGAAGTTCAACCTTGTTAGGGACATGAGGCATGTTAAACAATATTCGATTCCAATTCTTCATTTTTTACTAAAAAGTGTTAACTGCAATTATGGTCAATGTGGCTTTGGTTAAGGTCTAAAAGGGATTGCATAACTTCACTATATTTAAATGATTGCATACCTTAACATCTACACTTCTGCATATGTGTTTCTATGAATAGTCTTTTTGTAGATTTATTCAGCTCCAATGAAATCTATTAGCTTCTATGAATAGTCTTTTTGTAGATTTATTCAGCTCCAATGAAATCTATTAGCAAGCAAAACAATAAGATTACAGTAACAAATTTTGATTTGTATACATACAAACAAAGGGTTCCATCCTTACAAAAATGTGGTTTAGTGGTTAACTAAAATGGAAATTAGTAGATCATAGATGAAAACACAATGAAATAGAAACATATTTTGAAACATTATTCACTCAGACATTTCATTTCATCAGACAATTAATCTACAAACTTAAAAGGAAAAATTTTCATTTTGGGTTTTAATGGGCTTTTTATGACAAGATGAGTTAGTTTTTAAGGTTTGAGAGTGCCTATTTTCTATTAAGTGTTTAACATCAAGAAACTATGTTATGGCATTTTAAAGGATATTATTGTTATTTCATTCAATGTTTGTTTGCTTTGTATAGATTTCAAATATAAGTTATAAAAAGATGGAGTATATGTGTTCTGTGGCATAATAACTTTGAAATGTTCTGTCTTTGTCTTTGTTCGTTGAAGGGTGAAATTGAGTAGAATAAGCAATTGATGAGAATGAAATATGAATTAACAGGGTAGGAAAGATGTTGAAGTATATGACCTATGTTGTTCTCTTTAAACCACTGAAGAAACAACCACTTAAGAAATATAACGAAAAATAATAAACACTTGGTGTGCATGTGATCCATGTCCTGAAACAAAGGGTAAAGAAATATGAGGAAAAACAACAAACACCTGGTATGCATTATAACCAACGAAATAGGAAGAACGCAATCTTATTCCATACTAAATAATATCAACATTTAGATACAGAAGAAACCATTTAGAGGGGGGAAACGCATACACATATGAGAAACAAAAACAGGAGGCGGACGTTACTAACCTAAAAGTTTCATCTGGCAAACCTGAAGGCATTTTAAGACTTTGTAGATTCAAGAAATCAAATATCCATTCCTTGAACATGTCATATTTGAAATCGATGTCATTTTTGATCGGGTATATAGTTAAAAACGAATTTGGAAGAAAAACCATATAAGAAAAACCATATGCAAAAAACAACCCGAATTAAAGAAACCAAACATCCGTGGCCTTCATCCACACATGCATTGTCTTCATCCTCAATTCATCGCCTTGATTTAGGGTTTTGAGTTGTGGACGTGAGGATAACGATTGAGAGATAAAGTGTTCTACGGTGTGATTTCAAAAGAGGTGAAGGCAAATTCAAAATTCAAAAGGCTGAATCTCACTATATTTAAGAGATGAGTAGCATGGAACGCACAAATCAAATGATAAAGGATCTTTGTTGGTGATTTATTGATGATTTATTGATGATTTATCATTGATTTTATGGGATTGATGCGATGATTGAGGAGGCGATATGGTGGATTTGAAAAGGGATTGCCGAGATTTTTGGGGAGCATATTCAACGTTGATCGATAGACACAGAAAGATTCGAATTTTGAAATGGGATTAGGTTTTTGGTAAATTGGGGAGATATTAAGTGAACCATTTTAGAGTGAGGAAGCTGAGAAATCGGAAGAGAGAGATATATGGGTTGAGCGGGAAAAGAATAGAATCGTTTCACCAAAAACCGACACGTGGCAAAAAGGTTATTTAGAATAAAGACACCTGGCATGTATAGGAGTCTTTTATTAAGTAGGAAGATTGAGTATTAAAAGTATAAACATATCGCTATCACGATTCACGACTACAAAATTGATATTACTGTAAATAATGTAAATATGTTTTTATTACAAGTAATAAAAAATCAAGTATATTATTATTTTGAATTAAAAATAAGATACAATACAGTCAATATATTTGATGATAAAAATGTGTTGCTAATTCTTATCATTTGCATTCAATGTTTCTAAATAATACAATTGTAAAAAAGCAAACTATTTCTTTAAGACAATTTAAGAGAAGCACCACAAAGAAGAAAATTACAAAATTGATATTACTGTAATTAATGTAAATATGTTTTTATTACAAGTAATAAAAAATCAAGTATATTATTATTTTGAATTAAAAATAAGATACATACAGTCAATATATTTGATGATAAAATGTGTTGCTAATTCTTATCATTTGCATTCAATGTTTCTAAATAATACAATTGTAAAAAGCAAACTATTTCTTTAGGACAATTTAAGAGAAGCACCACGAAGAAGAAAATTACAAAATTGATATTACTGTAATTAATGTAAATATGTTTTTATTACAAGTAATAAAAAATCAAGTATATTATTATTTTGAATTAAAAATAAGATACAATACAGTCAATATATTTGATGATAAAAATGTGTTGCTAATTCTTATCATTTGCATTCAATGTTTCTAACTAATATAATTGTAAAAAGCAACCTATTTCTTTAAGACAATTTAAGAGAAGCACCACGAAGAAGAAAATTACAAAATTGATATTACTGTAATTAATGTAAATATGTTTTTATTACAAGTAATAAAAAATCAAGTATATTATTATTTTGAATTAAAAATAAGATACAATACAGTCAATATATTTGATGATAAAAATGTGTTGCTAATTCTTATCATTTGCATTCAATGTTTCTAAATAATACAATTGTAAAAAGCAAACTATTTCTTTAGGACAATTTAAGAGAAGCACCACAAAGAAGAAAATTACAAAATTGATATTACTGTAATTAATGTAAATATGTTTTTATTACAAGTAATAAAAAATCAAGTATATTATTATTTTGAATTAAAAATAAGATACAATACAGTCAATATATTTGATGATAAAAATGTGTTGCTAATTCTTATCATTTGCATTCAATGTTTCTAACTAATATAATTGTAAAAAGCAACCTATTTCTTTAAGACAATTTAAGAGAAGCACCACGAAGAAGAAAATTACAAAATTGATATTACTGTAATTAATGTAAATATGTTTTTATTACAAGTAATAAAAAATCAAGTATATTATTATTTTGAATTAAAAATAAGATACAATACAGTCAATATATTTGATGATAAAAATGTATTGCTAATTCTTATCATTTGCATTCAATGTTTCTAACTAATATAATTGTAAAAAGCAACCTATTTCTTTAAGACAATTTAAGAGAAGCACCACAAAGAAGAAAATGGAAGAAATTGAAGGGGAGAATTTAAGAGAAAAAAGAAAAAAAAAAAAAAAAAAAAGACGAAGTCATACTCACCACTCTCCACCAACACCAAAAACCCCTCATATAGAACCAGAGAGGCAGAGCTTTTATTTATTCAACTTCATCCATCTCTCTCTCTCTCTCTCTCTCCCTCTCTCTCAGTTTCTGTATTTCCATGGCTGCATCTGCTTCTTTCAAATTCAGTGGAATGTCTGGAACCACAAGCCGTGATCACAGAGTTTCTTTTCCCGCCAACAATGTATTTTCAGTTCAGTTTCAGCGTAGCTTCAATTACTTGAAATGCCTATCTAGATCGTCATTTGTTTCATCTGGTATGACTTTCTTCTAATTTTCATTTGATTATCAATCACCCCCTTGTGAATGTAAAATCTGAAATTCGGGACAGGAACAGGATGCATTATTATTGATTTGAGGTTTTAACGGATTTTGACAAATTATTGTTATTCTGTATGATGAGATGGATGAAATCAATATTGTTTTTCAGTCCAGTCTTTTTGAGGGCCTGTTTTTTGTTACACCTCATCAATCCGTGTTAGCTAAGTTAATTACATTTTGTGTTTCTTGTTAGAGAGTAGTATGTTAGTTGGCATGTATATATGTTTCTTATTCTCCTGTATCGTATAATTTTTTCAATCAATGAAATGAGAATCCTCTCTTTCAATATTTCTTCATTTAATTCGTATCATCATAACAGTTTCTGGGTAAGTTAGACGACTGTTTTGCCCATCTTTTATACGATATGAATATGATTTGATATCTTAACTTGCACAATTCATACATACAGTATATAATAGTTATTGGAGTTGCAGGTGTAAAATCAAAATCTGAGGTGGTGACTATCGAAGAGGAAGCAAAAGACATTATAGAAGCAGAAGCTGAAGCTCCTGTTGTTATTGTTACCGGAGCGTCTAGAGGTATCGGGAAAGCGGTTGCCCTAGCTTTAGGCAAAGCTGGTTGTAAGGTTTTGGTTAATTATGCAAGATCGTCTAATGAAGCAGAACAAGTTTGTAAACAGGTGAATCAATAGCTTAATTTCTCTTCTAATAAATTGTAATCGCATATAAATATATAATGGAAGTTCCATGACTATTTCCTTTCTGATCCAGATCGAGGAAGCAGGTGGTCAGGCACTTACATTTAAAGGAGATGTTTCAAAAGAATCAGATGTTGCATCTATGATCAAAACCGTGACCCATAATTCATTCTTCACCACTTAATTAATTCTTTGTCTAGAAAGAAGATTTAGAATTTTGTTGACATTATAATTATTACAGGCAGTTGATGCGTGGGGGACTGTTGATGTATTGGTCAACAATGCAGGTTACAAAATTCTATCTCCAATCTCTCCCTAAACTAATTCAATCTCAATCAGTGCAATGATACATACAGGGATTATAAAGGATGGTTTGTTGATGAGGATGAAGACATCTCAATGGCAGGAAGTTATTGATTTGAATCTCACTGGTGTATTCCTATGTACACAGGTATATGATTTTTGATTAATGATTATTCTCAAATATTTTTTTTTAATTAAATCTTTATATATTTGATTTCAGGCTGCTGCCAAGATTATGATGAAGAAGAAAAAGGTAGCCCCACTCCCATGTAGATCTAGTGTATTTAGTATGTGTATATATATATATATATATATATATATATATATATATATATATATATATATATATATATATATATATATATATATATATATATATATATATATATGCTAAAATGATTTGAATTCAGGGAAGAATAATCAATATAACATCTGTTGTTGGTCTGACTGGCAATGTTGGGCAAGCCAACTACAGTGCTGCAAAAGCTGGAGTAATCGGGTTTACCAAAACTGTGGCAAAGGAATACTCAAACAGGGGCATAAATGTCAGTTTCTAATCTGGATCTTTTTACCACTCAAATCTCAAATCTGTACTTAATCAATTTCTTATTTATAGTAAATATTACAGGTGAATGCGGTTGCCCCTGGATTTATTTCAACGGATATAATTGCTAATCTTGGGGAAGACATCAAGAAAAAGCTCTTGAAGACAATCCCCTTGGGTGAGATTTTCTATTTCTTGCCGTTTTCTTTGTTTTTGTTATTTTTAATAATTTGATATACATGCAGGAAGGTATGGGCAACCTGAAGAAGTTGCTGGGCTTGTAGAATTTTTGGCTCTCAATCCAACAGCTGCTTACATGACTGGACAGGTACCCACCTCTTCTTACAAAACCTAACTAGATTAAGTACGTTCCCATGCCCCTGAAACCTCAAAGTAAACATAGAGAATTATGAACGCTGTTTTGCAGGTGATTACCATTGATGGAGGAATGGTGATGTAAGAGCAATCGGAAAACCAATCATATGTTTGAACTAAAGAAAGAAAAATTCAATCATGTTTATGTTTAATTTAAAAATGTCATTTTATGTGTTTATGGTGTCTTGAAAGCAAGATTTCCTATCCTAAAATAAATGACCCTTTAACCATTTTTAATGGCAATAAAATGTGATGATTATGTGTTTTGCGGTATATAATTATAGATAGGGGTGTTTAAAACCAGATATCCAAAATTTCGGAGAGTGGATTTTGATATCCGAATCCGTATCCGAAAATTCGGATACAGATTCGGATATCCGAAATTCAACTCTTTTATTTGTTTGTTTTTAAAAATTCCGTTCAGCCACGTATACTCTCATCTTACATAAGGTCATCCATAATGCATCGAACTCCAAAGAGTTCAACGGATTGTCATATCATCATTTTATATTTCATACAACACTATCAATTTTTTTCCTACAATGCATTGAACTTTACAAAGTTCAATGGAACATATTTAAATAATTATTTAAGAGTTAGAAAAGTTTCATTTTTTCCATTGAAGGGTTCAAATGTTCAATGACTATTGAACTCTAGATCCATTGAATGACAGCTAGACTTGACATCTCATTCAACTCTCTATTGTGGATCCTTTAAAATGGTATCAATTCATAAACATTTAATATAAATATTACTTAAAACGTTGTGACTTTGCATTTTAAGTTGTGTGTTGATGATGTTTGATTTGAATTGAATTTGTCGGATTCTTGGATACAGATACTTTTAAACACTCGCAATTATAGATGGATGAAGGTTATTTCTTTTAAAACCATCTCCAACTCATAACACCATTTTTACATCAAAAGGTAAAAATTTTGTAAAAAATTAGCACAAACAATAAATCATCTATAACCCATTCGTACCAATTCTAACACTAAAAAGAATATTATATATATATATATATATATATATATATATATATATATATATATATATATATATATATATATATATATATATATATATAGGGAGAGGATCAAATGAGAACACCTAAAAAGTTGAGAACGCGAGAACAGTTCTGGACCAATCATTTTATAAGGGTATATTAGTAACTTTATATAAATATTAATTAATGATTTCCTAAAATCTAGGGATAATGATTTTAATTACCTAACAAAATTAATATTTCCTTTTAGTTAATGAAATATATATAAATATTTTTTTTTATGATTTTTCCCAAAAATTATTTACGACCGTTTCAAAAAAATTACCTAAAAAAATTAATATTTCCTTTTATTTTAAATCTGAAAAGAAAATCTTAAAAAAAAATATTATTTTCTACTATTTCACGTTTTTGTTTTTCAAAAGAAAAATGAATAGAAATCCAATCCCAAATCAATACACTTTCAATCATAAATGAAAACACATCAAATTACAAATAATTCAATGCATTTTTCATAAATTGAAAATAAAAAATAGTGTAAAAATTATCATTTTTTCATAAAATGAATACCTCTAATCATAAATAAATACACTCATTCACATTAATACACTAGTATTCATAAATAAATACAATCATTCACACACGAATACATTGCAATTCACAAATGAATACACTGTTATTTATAAATTAATACACATTCTATCATAAATAAATACACGTGCTATTCATAAATGAATACAACCATTCACACATAACTACAATGTTATTCATAAATGAATACACGTGCTATTCATAAATAAATACAATCATTCAACACCCCCTTCAAGATATTATTACCAAAAAATTCGAAAATTAGGATTGTGTTTCTTTCTTTGCCTCTGTTCTTCAGAAATTTTTCCAGTTGGTCCTCCCATTGCAACCATTCTACCTCCTGAACACTCAAGCAAAGATTAACACTCAAACAAAATCAACACTCCACGGTAAAATCAATATGTATAATTATAAAATCTTTTTGTGAGATATGGATGATCAAGAAACAAAAACCCACCGATTCACTGTAAAACATCAACACCCAAATATCCATACCTTCATCAGTTTCTATCAAAACAAACAAAGAAAAAGGAATTTTCGTTGTTCTTCTTTTCATCTCTATCAATTTCTGTCAAACAACCAAACCCAAACACCCATCTAAACCTATTTATTAAACTTCATTGATTTACAGTCAAAATAAAAAGAAAAGAAAAGAGAATCATTACCGATCGAAGCAACTGCCCCATCGAGACCCCTTCCCTCATTCCAGTCGAGACAGAAGAAGCGCCCTCCAGCCGCCATTGCTGTTTTCATTTTCTCCTCTGCGAAACAGTGAAGCACCGGAGGTGCTTCTCCCACCCAACGATTGATCGCCTCCCCTCCTCGTGGCTGCGTGACCACTGAACAGCCCATCCGCTCATCTTCTATCGACTGGAGCAAAGCACCCACCAAGACCGACGACTCACACCTCACAGCCGGAAGAGATGAGCAAAACTTTGCTGCTTCTTCACGCCCAGCGGCGGCTGGAATGAGAGGAGGCCCTAGGGTTGTGAAAAATGCAGAAGCAGGGATATAGAGGGAGAGATACGAGAGAGAGAGAGAGAGAGATATTGTAGGAATTGCTAAACATAGGTAAACAATCAATTACCATTTTACCCTTATGACAGTTTTAAAGTTACACTTTAATTCCTGTAATTTTAAGAATTTACATAAATGGCTCATTCGATAATAGTCTTAGATTTAGATTTTTAAATGGTTCAGATGTGTTCTCGCGTTCTCAACCTTTTAGGTGTTCTCATTTGATCCTACTCCTATATATATAGATATATATATATAGATATATATAGATATATATATATATATATATATATATATATATATTCTTTTATATTATATTATTAAAACAACAAATTTATTTAATTAAACTAAATTACATTTAACACACATCTAATTAAATATTATACATGTATTTTGAAAATATAACACATATTGTAAGAACCTGAAATTTATAAACATTTGACTTTTAGTCAAATATTAACCAAAATGGCAAAATTGTCATTAATGAGAACTTAGTAAGAATATGAAGTTGAGACTTCATAAAAATGGTCAAGATAAGTTTAAGTCGCTAAAAAGAGGTAAAATGAGTAAGTTCAAGAAAAAAATACATGAGAAGATGTATTTTGGCCAAAAGGGTAAAATGGGAATTTTTATGCTTTTTGGACCAAGTTTGTAACATAATAGATTAAGACCCGTACTAAGTCAGTGAGAAATGACTTAACAGAGGTGTAGAGTATGTTCCCACATTCACGTGGATATAAAGATCATAGAAAACGGATATAGAATGAAGAAGTTATGAAGGTTAGAAGTTAGAGGAAAAGTTGTCTCCAAAGCTGGAATGAAATCAGCAATGCACTTTGCTGATATCCAGTTATCGCGACGCAGTAAATAGCTCACCATGGTGCGGTGAGTGATGACAAGGATTCATACGAAGTTCTTCTAGTCTTAAGAGAAAGACAACCTACTTTACACCACGACATGGTGAATGGGCACCAAGGCGTGGCGGCCAAAGAATGATGCTATAATGGAAAGACACCGCGGCCCAGAAAGAGACCG